CAGCACAGCAGGACGTTTGATCGACGACCACAGGACATGCTTAGATCCGTATACTGTACAAGCGGTGATGTGCTTACAGGATTGGTGGAGATACGAGAAGCGAACACAAGGCATCGAACGGATTGCTATGATTGAAGATAAATTTGAAGAGTTGGGACTAGCAGATAGATATAATGATTAGATAATATTCATAAAATTGTAATTTTTATTTCTTAGCTTTAAATTTGAATTAAATTATTTCGAAAAAAGTTGCAAATGATAGTGATATGGGTGAGTAGGTGCCAACCTAGTTGGGATGTACTCATCTATTGTGATGCGACGAATTTCGAAATAAATTTATACTTGTAAAGGATTTACCGATTATTAATAAAGAAGTTATTTTTATCATTTTTTGTACTTGTAATTTATGTCATTTCATTTCAAGTTATTAATAAAATTTATGACATTTTTTATAATAATTTATAATTTATGGTTTTGTTAAAATTTAAAAAAATAAAAAAAAACAAAATTTAAAAAAAAAAAACAAACCGGGCCGGCCCGGTGTCCGGCCCGCTCTAATCGCTGTCCTAGAAGATTGAGGACTCGTCTATCGTCCTGGTGCAGATGATCCCCTCTCCCCTAGCGGTAAAACCCCCGGAATCGGTCGGTCGCTGTACTCAGACGAGAGTAAAGAGTTTCTGCTCAGATGAAGAAGATTGCCCAAAATAAAAGTTAAACTGTAACCGAGTAATCGCTGTCCTAGAAGATTGAGGACTCGTCTATCGTCCTGGTGCAGATGATCCCCTCTCCCCTAGCGGTAAAACCCCCGGAATCGGTCGGTCGCTGTACTCAGACGAGAGTAAAGAGTTTCTGCTCAGATGAAGAAGATTGCCCAAAATAAAAGTTAAACTGTAACCGAGAATTTTTTGAGAGGAATATTTTTTTCCGAAGACAGAAGAGAGAAGTGAGTTGGAGAGATCTTTTCCTTTTCGTTTCTGTGTCTTCCGAGTAGAGTCTTCGACTGTATATATAGGGTTTTAGAGAGCCGTTACAAACCCCGAACATTACCCAAAATCGCGCATTCGTTACCCAAATATCGCATTCGTTACCCAAATATCGCACAACCATTACGCACGTTCTCCATGTGTAAAACGTGTAAAAAGAAGTTGAAATTTTCAAAATGTGGCTAGCGTGGGCGCATGTGTGATATACAAAGCCTAAACAAATGAAAGCCCAAAACACCCCCTTCTTTGGAATCCTCAAAGCCCAAATGAAAGAGAGCTAATTTAAACAACCAACTATTCATCACACTAGGCAATGTGAGACTATTCATTGAAGATAAAATTGTATTTTCTCCCATAATATAGCCAACATGTTGTAATATATATACATAAATACACACCCTCATGTGTGGTTTAGGGACACTACAAATGATTGGGATAGGCCAATTATTTTATGTCATCTCTTATAGTAATGTCACTAAGTTGTAGCTTGTTTGTGGAGGCAAAGTTTGACGCTATTTTCGCACACCTAACCATAATGGAGCAGGGTAGGAAGAGGATACCCTCATGCTAAGTAGCATTTGCTTTTCCATATAAATTCATGATATTTTTGCCTTAGTTGAGTTTTGCATCTATTGTTTCCCCCAGTATCTATATCATCTTTTAAATATAAGGTGGGAGTGCTCTAGCTTAATATGAGTCTTCCTCCTAATTTAGTTGAGCAAACAAGGACCGACAAGTCACTCCATGACCTTGTTGTTATCTTACTAACCTAGCTCATATTTGAATCATCAGTTATGATTTGGATATGTTGATAAGCAGTGTAATCTTTTGACTTGTGTCCCGTTAACAATGCACAAGCCAAGGCAGTGGAGGGTGTGCCGTTGTTTGCTAAATTTTTACTAAATACACTTAGTATTTTCGTTCAAAACTGTAATCAACAAACGCAGTTAAATTCTCAACGGTTCCAATTGCACTGTCCTTGCCGAAGGTAATATGTTGGAAAGTTGACCAATATGTTATGCGAATAATTTCATGTCAGTGATATTGTTCTGAATCTTTAATTCTGACTAATGGGATCGTCATTTAAGTGTCGGTTATTGTCGCAATAAAAGTCATGTAAGCAAGACAATCTTCAATATCATGTGAAGGAAATAAGTAGTTCTGTGTATCCGATAATATTATTTGGGATCTGTTGAGATCTACTGCCTTTATCTCTCCTATACTCAAATACAAAACAAAATAATTAATAATTTCTTCACGAAAGAAGCATCAGCTAGTTGGGTACTATGGCCTACAGAAAAGATTAAACTTTAATTTATAGCCTACATTTGAAAGCGAATGTGTTGTTGATTGTCCCCTCAATAAATTTTTTTTATTAGAAATAGGCGAAGTGAGCATGCCCAATCACCACGATCGAGCACCTTGGTAATTTACTTTTTTTAGCATTAATTGTGGATAGACCCAAGGGACTATCGCCCAATTGCGAATAGAACCCCCGTAGGTCTATTGTTGCAGACAGGACCCTGGGTTAAATACCTTTTTACTCAGAGATCTAAAAGTAATGCAGAGCAAATATACCCCTCCTGAGGGTAAAAGAGATTATCATATTAGCTAATCCTAAGGATTGTGAGTACTGTCTTGGGTTAATATTAATAAGCATACAAGAAACCGGTAGGTGAAAAATCAATGTATTTTGATGTAATGACAAACTTTCCTAAACAAACTACTAGACAATCAATAAGGCCCCCGGGGTCTTGATCAAAACAGTTCCAACCCAGAGAGTAGACATTTTAACAAACCCTGCTCGTATTCATGATTAAGACATGTTACTTGATCTTGCACAGTAGCTGTCTTTTGTGGTCCAATTTTTTGGGTTCTTCCCTTTTTTTTAAGGAGATAAAAAGCCAATAGTGGAAAAGCAAACTGAAGAGCTAACTAGCAAAATTTATCTATGTTTAAAAAATTATTGATTTTGAATAGAATCCTAAGAAAAGAGACAGAATTTGGTCGCTATGTCCCTCCTCAAGTTCAAGCTAAGAATACTGGATTAGATCCTCTATTTTTTTTATACAGTAGAGAGACCACGATTATTGCTAAACAAAATATTGTATTGCTATCCAATTAATTTTCTATTATGCATATTGATAGTTGATTATGGTCTAATGTATTCAATATTATTATGGAGTTCTATGTAGAAAATGAAGCCCGAACTGTTATTTAGTAATTAAATCAATAAATATTCTTAATTCAATTTTGTTGAAGAATTTTCTTATTGAGGATAATATATATAGTTGGAGGAAATAATTAAAATAAAAATAGAGATTATTGCAATTTAATTATATGAGTTTAATCCTATACTCATGTCATGGTTTAGAATATTCTAGAAAAAAGTAAGGTAAAAAAGGAAAAAGAAAAGGAAAAAAAAGGAAAACTCTCCCTACAATACTATAATTTGAGATATATGAGTTCGAATCATATTCACATGTTATCATTTCAAATTTTCTAGAAATAAAAAGTTAAAAAAAAGGAAACCGGCAGAAGAAGAAAAAGAAAAAAAAAACTCTTTTGCAAAATTACAATTTCACCCTCACAACAATTGGAAGGAGGATGTGTCCACCAATCATCCAAACTTTTATTTTCCTCATTAAGTTTATTACAGATATAGATAATTTTTTGATAGGCTAAATATAATTATCGATCATATCTCTTTGAAGTATGTTGATTCTTTTTGTTTAAGATGGGGATAAAACTTTGCGGCGAATCTACTCTTCTATACTTATTGGAGGATCCAAAGAATCAATGTTCATGCTACAGTAAATACTACAGTGAAGTACTGTAGTATAAATAGTAAACCAGATCTGGCTCTCCACACTCGAAGTTATTGTTCGTGCTATAATAATTTACTGTAGCATAAACAATAAATCAGATATGCTTAAAGCTACTATTCATTCTACACTAACTTATTATATTATAAATAGTAAAGCAAATTAAATGCATTAAAATATGGATTCTCTTTCAAGTATAGATGAGTAGATATATGATTTCTAAATTAAATGTATTAAAACTTAGATCGTTCTTTAAGTATATAAGAGTAGATATGATTTCTAATTTTAAGCGTATAATAATTAAATCAAATATGTTAAACCTTAGAGGAAGACAAATTTAAAATGCGGTGTTTAAAAAGATAGGGATCGTGTTTTGCACGGGTGCACACTTGTTACAAATTAAAATGAGAAAACTAGCTATGCGCGGACCTCAGGCCATGTTCAGTTTATATAGGCCTTCCTTGCGAGCCCATCTAACACGCCTGATATTGAAGAGAGGACAACGGATGTTATCAAATCACACACGAGTATATTTATATATAAAAAAAATCAATTTGATATTGTTTTTTGGTTTCCCCCTCTCTCATCCTTTTTTTAAATTTTTAATTTTGATCTAGTTTTGGGCCTTCGTTCGTCTCATTAGTGTAGCTTTAATGAACCCTATACTAGTATCTTAACCTCTGCTAAAATTAAATTAACTTTTGAAAAAAAAGGGGGAAGCGGTTGGTGGTTTGGCGCCTGTGGCCCGCCCCGCCCCCCCCCCCACCCCCCCCCCCCCCCGCCCCCCCTCCCGCCCCCCGCCCCGCCCCCCCCTCTTTTTTTTTGGCTCTTTTGTTCAAACAGGGGAAAATTTTAAAATTTGTAAACATGTAGCATAGTTTTCCTACTCCATGAACCATAAATAAGAAGGGAAATTTTAAAAATTTGTAAACATGAACCATAGCTCTTTGTTCCAACAAGGGGGAAAAAATAAGAAGGGAAAATTTAAAATTTGTAAACATGTAGCATAGTTTTCTAGCTCCATAGACCACAAATATTGAAATCTATCCATAAACATGCACTCCACATTCATCCATGATCCAACACATGAAAATAAACACATACGCACACCAAGTTATTCACATACACTAGACACTTCACAACTTCACCTAGTGACACTCCTGCTACTTTGACATA